CGCGCGCGGGCTGCAGCTCTCAGGCTGCAGCTCTCAGGCTCCCTTGGCTCTGACTGTCACTACTCAGTGCCTGGTTGTGCATTGGTCAGTGGGTGGTGAGAAATTGTATCATATTCTATCATATGTTTTATTTTCTATTTTTTTAATTATTTACTATTAGTAGTATTTGTATATATTCTATTAGAATCAATTAGTAAATAGTTCTTATCTCAATTTTACGAGCTCCCTTGTTTCTTTTTCTTCTGATTCTTCCCCTCCACTGCAGGGGGGCAGGGGGGATTTGTGAGATTCCTTTTCATGACATCACCTTTTAACAGATACCTGTTCAGTTGCTTGTTTGCTTGTTATATTTAACTTGGACTTAAACAGTTTCCTGTGTCCCCTAAGCCAGGTAGGAAAGATGATCAACTTATTAAAAGCCTGTAGATGCATTTGCTGTGCAAAGATGCCTCACTAATCCTTGCTATGGATTATTCTCTCTGCAGGCAGGGGGACAAGTCAGACTGCACGTACATAGTGTTGAATGGTCGACTTCGCTCGGTCATACGGATGGATGATGGAAAAAAGCACCTGACGGGTGAATATGGACGAGGAGACTTGATCGGAGTGGTAAGAGTCGGTTTCAAAATGAACCTTTTGGCTGAAAAACTAGTGTTGTCTCCACACTAAACAAACAAAATCTTTCTCTAATCAGTCTTAATTAAGGGTTTTCGCAAGTTGAAAAGGTGGAAAATCCCTTCTACCTGGAAACCTTATGTAATAGTACATGAATGGGATCATTAGACTTGGTTTAAAAAGAAAGATTAAAAACTCCCAAAATGCCCTGCAGAATGCTCTGTTGTGATATGAGTTACTTCCTTTCACACTGGGAGGAGAGCAGCCTGTTGGAGTAGTTCAGGAAGAACTGCAGGAATGTGGCAGTAAATAGTGATTGGAATAAATTTAGTATCATAGAAAGATGGAGTGCAAGTGCCCTCTGAGTCAGCAGAGCTAACTTCACATCTGCATTAGGTTGGTCTGGGAATGGGAAGTTATTAAAAGGTATTACAGCAACCTTTGATTGCAGATTTGTCGTACTTATCCATGTTTAATTTCTCTCCTGTGTTAATTTTTTATTTCTCAGACCTGGTTGAACAACTGAAATGGACGTGTGCTACATCATAAAACATGTGGTTTGTTTGAGTTTTATATTTAAAATTAGGAGGGTTCTGAAGGTCTGAGGTGGTTGTTCAGGCCTCCTTCTGCTTTCTGAGCTGCAAACTAAACATTTGATGTGTATCTGTTTATAGCCAGAATTAACGTACGTGTGTATGAAGGAAATGTGGAGTTACTATTAGTAGTATGGGACGAAATTCTTGTTTGTAGAGCTCAGGAGGGAGAGGAAGGAGAGAGTGCAAGGCTGGTTTCCTCTAGAGAGCTGGTTGAAGATGGTGCTGATTGCAGAAGGTGTGTTCGAAAGTGGTGTGATCCAGCAGCTGAGTGCTACCCGCTGGACAGGGGGTTCTCTGGTACCTCCGCTCTTTGCCGTGGTCACGGGCTGCATCTGCAATGGAGGCCTCTGTAGCTGGGGCAGAACATCCTCAGCACGAGGCCTCGTTGTCTCTGCTGGCAGGTGGGTCACGGACCTGTGTCTGCGTTGTAAGGTGTGGCAGAGGTCTTGTGCCCCCTGTGAGACTGGGAACTGACCCAGCATCTGGGGCAGGTTCTTGAGTCAAGTAAGTTTTCCCCTAAGGAGGGTGAAGTCTCCAGACCTTCTCAGGGTGCGCTCACAGCTCACTTGTCAGAAACTCTAAAATACAGGGTGTCCTTCAGAAGTGTCAGCCTAGCCTGGAAGAGGCCATCCTGGTGATGCTCCCAGCAGAAGGCAAAGGCAGCTGTGCTGGTGACTGCACCACTTTCATGGAGTCCTACATGGGCAGTAGCTGAGGATATTTTCCAAAATCAGTGCTGCTTCAGGCCGGGAGTGTTGTTGGCCTGGGGCTGCGTTTGGAGAAGCGTGTCTGTTCTCACTCCCAGGCATGCTCTTACGCCTTCTTTCTTTGTTTCTCTTGTTGGGCTGCCTCTGTGGGGTACTTCATTTAGGGTAAAATGACATGGTTTGACAGGAACAAAAGCAGAGATCTTTGTGATGAATCATGCTGGTGTGAGGCCTTTTAGTCTGTGAGTAAGTTTGTCAGTTTTGACACCTACCAGCAGTGAACTGCAGCTCCACTGTCGAGCTTCTGGAGTTTTGCAGAGCACCCAGGTTAAAGCAGCAGAGCTCTTCCACTTTCTGGAGGCAGTTTGGAGTGACGGTGGAGCGTGCGGTCTAAACTCTGCCTCCTGTACCGGCACTAGCGCTGGTTTTGGCACAGGGGTTTGCATTGGCTCAGCTGTTCGTGGTGAAGAGAGAGGTTGACTGGGGGGATGGACTGGGCCGTGTTTGCTGTAACAGTTCCATGTTTGCTGCCGAGTCCCTTGGTGCGGGTACAGACATGCCCGTGTAGCTTATGTCTAAGCCAATAAGTCACTTTTCTGGACCCGTGTTATGACATGAATCATTTGAAGACTTCTGCGACTCCGTGGATGTCATCTACTCCTTCCTACCCACAGCTCCCGGGCCCACTGACTCATGCTGCCATTTGTTGAACGCATCTCGGTGCTCTGGCTGTCTTTCGAAAACATGGGGGAGGACTTGCAGAGATTGCCAGGATTAATGGAACCATTCCTCACAGAGGGCATTAGTAGAATGACATTTTTCCTTTTAAAAAGATTTGTTTATCCCCTTCTGCAGGATCTGTTATAAACCTTTCAAAGCCTGCTGTGGGGTTGGGTCTTTCCCCTGAAAGTGAAGTAATTGGAAGGTTCTAGGTGCTTGCAGGTAATTAAATTAGTAGTTGGTATTGATAATGAGTATTTTGGTCAACTGGTGGTGTGTTCCTCTCTGAAACCACTCCCCTGTCACTCTGAACTGTGGGCACTAAATACACACAGGAGTCTCGCTGATGTAGCTTTGCTTTTGTGCTTTATGTCAGAACTTGAAAAATGCTGTGTGTCATATGCTAAGAGATGAGTTTCTGCCATTTCTGCTTTCAGAAGACTGGAAACATGAAGGATTTCAGACAAGATGTTAATTTTCGAGCATGTGTGTGCTCTCAAGGCTGAACTTGTGGCTCGAACTGTTTTGTTCCTTGTACTGACTCAATGGCATCTGTTTCTGAGGTCTGTCACTTCGAGGGAGAAGAACAGATTAGAAACTGAAGTTTGCCTTCCCTGTGTAGTTAGTTGAAGAGCTGACAAGGGGTAGTTACGTCAGGGAAAACCATCCCTGCTCCCTGGGAGCCTTTGGAGGGGCACTGCCAGCCACTTGCTGCTGACCTTGTCGATGGGCAACTCTCATTGTTCTGTCTGGTCAGACCAAGTCAAAACTCGATTGACGGCTTGCCAGGTGGTTTTTAAAGGACGATGATGAATCGTTGGATAAATCCCTCCCATTTGAAATACAGTTGACGAAAGTCCTGTTGTCTGGTGGCTATGATTGGTCCGACTTTGGGGGGAAATCTTTTAATCTGTTGGTGCCATTTGCTACTAATGCACTTGTGGAAAAATGCTGAAATGGTAGTTTTAATAAACTTTTTAAAAAATTTGTATAAATTATGTTTGGGGTTTGTTTTTTCCTTGATGTAGCTGCTTTAGTTCTGATCTTGGTTAGCTGCTACAAATTGTAGTTTTTACTTTTATTACCTTGATCTCGTTAACATGTTGTTGTCTGAGAAAGAGGATTCCTTTTCATTTGTTTATTTGTTCTGCCTATCGATAACAGGCAAACTGGCCCAGGCTTTGACACTTAACTGTTGTCCCGCCACTGCTGATGAGCCTGGAGCAGTTATTCAGTATGTGTGCAGAATAAGTTGTCCCAGATAGGTTACAGGACCACAACTCGAAGTATCTGTTGAGATGGGTGTTTTTGCTTTTTGCTTTGTTGGAAGAACACTAGTGGGTGAGGAGGAGGAAAAAACCCAACAGAGCTATCTTGCAGAGTAATCTGCTGAATAAATGTTATTTGTGTACTGCCTGCTCCCATCAAATCGTGATAGAACCTTCCATGCAATTAGCTTTTTATGCGAGTCAACACTCTGTCTTAATTGGGCTCCTGAAGGATGGCTGCAGTGTTGGTAGATGACTAAATGCCAGGCAGTTCTTAGGGGCCTCAGAGACAGCTGTTGAGTTCACGGTATTTTTAAAAGCTGGGCTCTTACGTAGTTGGTAGCCAAACTTGTCGGTAGCCACCTGCCCCATAAAACTGTTGTCTGCCGTGTCGTACCGGCCAACCACTCTGCTTTCCAAAATGCCTTACTGAGTGGGAAAGTTGCAGCAATGTTTTGGTTAATCCAAGATCCTTTCTGCTGCTTTTAACAACTGGAATACCCCTTCTTATTAGATTATACCCAGCTGTTTGTGGGTAGCAAAATGGTGAAACAAGTGCAGACAGACGTGGGTGCACTCACCCTTCTCATGCAGGGCAGCATGAGTGATAAATTGCAGAAAAAGAATCCTCATCTGCTAGTGCAGCATACCGGTTCTGCTGGAGGGGAAATCATGCTTTACATTCTCCAAACAATGGCTCTTTTAAGTGGTTTTGATGTTAAGCTGTTCATCTCATTAATACAGTTGAACGTGCATGGCTTTTTTCACTCTAAAAAGTTGAAAACCAAGAAGAATCTGTAAATGGCTTATGATTTCCTTAGGGATTTGGAGCATTGTCCTTTTTAAATGTAACACGAACTGTTAGAAATCTTTAATTGCTGAGTAATCCTCCAAGGAAACACACCAGTATCAGGATTACACTTGTCAAGCTTTTATTCTTTAGCAGTATTAATGCTGTCATACGCCACCGACATCTGGCACTACCAGAGCCAGCTGAACATCGCGGTACCCTTGGCAACCGCGCAAAGACAGGGCAAGTTCTCTGTTCAGGCTGGTTTACTTTGTCATTTTTGAGTGCGTGGATGTGTTTTGCCAGTTTGATGCGTGTGATTTTTTTTCAGACTGTGAATTCTTCTGTTTCTAAATCTTTAAATCACTAAAACCCCCAGGTTTCAGGTTAATTCAGGTTAGTGGTGCCTCGGGCACTCTCCGCACGCAGCCCGTATCTGTGGAAATTGGAGGCGGGTGAGGTCCCAGAGCTGAGCTGGAAGATGGAGTTCTGAAAGGTGGCGTTCTCTCCCTATCTCTTCCGCCGTCTGTCTTGGTAGTACGTTACTAAAAATTACTATTTGCCTGGCAGCATCTTAGGTGTGAAATGGTATTTAAAAAACCCCGAAACAACCAGTAAACCCAAACCCAACCAACCAAAACCCCCTAAACAAACACACACAAACCAACCCAAGATGCAAAGCACACAGCAAACCCCCTGGTACCGACCAGCAGCGAAGTGAGGCGGAGGAAGCCCTGAGAAATGAGTTCCCGTCTGCACAGCTGAATCAGTGTCAGTCGGAAATGGTAAGCTCGATGTCCTGGTTGCCAAACCGGCCTTGAGGGTGTTCTTGGCTGACCTGAAGTCACTGATCTGAGCCATCTGAACCTCAGTTTCCTATGAGCATCTTCCCTTCTGGTTCTGAATTCTGATTCTGGTTATGAATCAGGAATGAGCTGCTGGGTTCTGTCTATTTTTCTGACTCTCTTCTCTA